TTGAAAGTTCTTCCTTTCACACTGCAAAGAGCGATGCTTAGAACCACTGGTGGCAGCACCAGTAGAAGTAGCAACATTAGAGTGGAAAGTTTACTTCTTAATCCAGCTAGAGCCTTCACACACTGCTGCCCCCACAAGTGGTTTTTTCTCTCATTGTCAGCTGACTCAGAGGTGGCATCTGCACAATTTAATAAGTGGTGTTGAGAAGGCCTGGTAGGTATCGGCCACTACAAGAGATGATCCTTAGACCTACGTGCACCAGAGAAGAGATGACAATTATATCCCCAGTGTTTTTTCTGCCGTACGGACTTTCCTTTCCGTTGCTCAGCAGTCAAGGTCACTGGGTGTGGAGGCTGCTTTGAAAAGGTCAACAAGGCAGGAAAAGAGACTGTTTTCAGAAACTTTGCAGAATGGATGATTTCTGTTTTTCTGCTCTACTGACCTTTTCAGAGCAAGCACAGAAAATATATCTAGCAGTTAAATGTTTAATGATTCTCATTCCCACACTTTTTCTAAGTCTGAAAGGGAATTTTTGATGTTAAAAGTAATTGTACTTCATCTTCATAGAGAGAGAGAGAGAGATCCTTCAGCAAGGTAAATGAAAAGATGCTTTCCTTTTACAAATGCCAAGCAAGTACTATGAAGAAGCACATACAAAAGCAACTCAGGTACTTTAATTTGTGGTGATTGGCTTGAAAAGTGACGCATGTTTCCATTTTCAAAAAAATAGCAAGAAAGTCACATCATAAAAGCATAAAAGTTGTAAGTTATGGATCATGCAGTTGTGCAACATCCAGAAAGGGGAAGAAAGCATCACAAATGAACATTACCAAATTGGAGGTAAGAACTTTATTGCCACATACCTCTCAATTTAAAAAGTAAAAGAGCCCATCTTAGAATTTTTCAGTGGTTACTCATTTTATTCTCCATGGGATTAATACAATACTCACATTACTTTGTAACACATGCCCTTCAAAGTTAAACAGACTGAAAAGAGCTGTCCCAAACATAGTGTCATAACTATTCGTCATCTGCTCCTATTTCCTTACAGGACTGCTGTACAACTTTATGGGCTTTTTATTGAAAACCAATAAGGAGCCTATAAGCAGGTTGTTTAAATATTCCTTACTGAACCAGGTTTAAGTTTTGTTCAAATAGTATCAATTTATTAACTTCAATTTCTCACATTTCACCATGAGACAAAGTGCCTTGACTGAAAATATTGAAAGAGATATATAATTTGCTGCTTTTGCTTTAATGGTAGACCTTGCTAATTTATAAATTCCATCCATTTCCAGAAGACCACCCATCACACTAAGCTTGTGTTAATTAACTGATATAGTCTACTAGATCACAGAAATATATTCTGCTGGAACTGTGATCCATTTCAACTCCTCTAAAAATCAGTTTCCTGGACCCCTGACTTCTTCCAACAAAGTTCAAGATTTTCCATCCCAGATTCACTCTGCTCCTAAAACTATTCTCTTTTTTGCCCATTGGTGTCCTTATACTTTTCAAAACGACCTCTTTTCCTAGCTCAGGGGCCTCCTCAGACTAAGCTTCCTTGAGTGCCTAGCTTCTTGGTTGATACAAATCAAATAACTGCCTCATTTCCAAGCAACTCAGGTTGTGGAGTCTGTTTCTTGGTTGCAATAGGCAGAGAGTACCCACCCTTTTTTCTTTTCATGCTGCATCCTGACAACACTGACTGGTGCACCAGTGTGTACATTTACAACCACGTGCCATTTACGATCGACTCCCCCACCCCTGTGCCTTGATTCCACAGATGGGTCTTCCCTTGGACACTGAAACAATGCATGTCTGTGCTCCCTGGCCAGACCTTGTGGAAATTGTGCCCTTCAGGGTGTGCCCAGAGGCATGCCTTGGCTCCATCATCCCTGACCCTGGCAGCTCAAGGATCTTGGCCTGGCAGCGGCTGGGAATCCCCAGGAAGCACATGGTGCTGGAATCCCTCCCTCATATTGGATGAGGGGCCTTCTGCACCTGACCCCAAGGTCCTGCAACAGTGCAGAGGGTGCCACTCCCCTTCAGGCTCCTGACTGGCCACTCCCCTGTGCAGAGCAGGCCAAGAAGAAAAGAGTCTTCTTGAGCAACCTGTGTGACCATGTATATTGCATGCTGTGCCTCGTGTTCTCGTAATGAAGCTCGTAATGAAGGTATGGTTTACAAGGCATGGCTTCAGTGACCATCCTCCATCAGGGAAAGGGAAAGCAGCATTCACCACTCAGTCTTGATTCCCCATGCTGCAACAATCCCCTTCGTGGTTCTGGTTTGGCTACTAGCCAGGCTGGTCTCAATGAGCACCTGCATGCATGATGAGGCAAGCTGTTGTTACAAGTCGCGACCCCATGGACAACATTCCTCCAGGCCTTCCTGTCCTCAGCCATCCCCGAGTCCACTTAAGCTCACTCCAACTGCTTCAGTGACTCCATCTAGCCACCTCATCCTCTGCCATCCCCTTCTTCTTTTGCCATCTATTGTTCCCAGCATTAGGGCCTTCTCCAGTGAGTCCTTTCTTCTCATTAGGTGGCCAAAGTATCTGAATTTCTTCTTCAGGATCTGGCCTTCTAAAGAGCAGTCAGGGTTGATCTCCTCTAGGACTGACTGGTTTGATCACCTTGCTGTCCAAGGGACTCGCAGGAGTCTCCTCCAGCACCACAATTCAAAGGCCTCAATTCTTTGGCGCTCAGCCTTCCTTATGGTCCAGCTTTCACAGCCATACATTGCAACTGGGAAGACCATAGCCTTAACTATACGCACTTCTGTTGGCAGGGTGATGTCTCTGCTTTTTAGTATGCTGTCTAGATTTGCCATAGCTTTCCTTCCAAGGTGCAAGCGTCTTTTAATTTCTTGGCTGCAGTCCCTGTCTGTGGTGATCTTGGAGCCCAGGAAAATAGAATCTGTCACTAGATGAGGCAAGTACTTGTGCCTTATGAACTGATCCTGGGGACTTCATATCAGCATATATGAATACGGCTTGGTGCTCATATGCTTCTAGCACATTAGCATATTCAGGGAATGCTGGCAATGGTTATTCTAGTAGATGTTGGAGGGGTTTTTGGGCTGAGAATCTGGAACCAGCTTCCATCAAATGTGCTATGAACCTTATGAAAGCTTGCTATACCAAGGAGTCCGTGTCAGTGGTGTAGAATTGGACCTTGACTGTTTTCACCACTGCATTCAGCCATACATCTAGAGAACCACTGGGTGAGCATTAAAAGATGCTTAGGTTCCTGCTGGAAATCTCTGGCTAGATAGCTGAGACCTATGAGCACCTTCTGAAGCATGGGAATATTAGGCTTCAGTGGCACCTGGTGACCGCAGGTATGGTGCCAGGGGTGTGCATAGCACTTTGATGGTCTGCTGATCAAATTTGAAGCCCTGGTGATAAACAGCATCAGACCCTGCAAGAGTCACTCTTAGCCACACTGCCTGTGCTGGTTTTGTGTGGAGGATATATGCCATCAGGGCATGCACACATAGCTAACCTCCCTGGGTAGTGGGAAAAGGAAAGGAAAGGACAGCCCTGGCCCCAAGTCACTGCACCTGTGGTAAGGAGGATGGACACTGTTGTCATGGAGAATACCCCCTTGCGCACACACCAACAACCTTGCAGCTGTTCATGCTGAACAGGCAGGTACCTTCTCCTTCCCAGGAGCCAGGGTGTTTACCAGCCTTTCTTCCGGGCCATGACCAAGATGGCCGGATGAAGCTCCCATATGGAGCTAGCAGAGGGCTGCAAGTTGCAGGGGGAGCAAATCCACATAAACAGCCATAGTCCTACAGGACCACATATAGGAGGCTGGCATGTGACCAGCCCCAACTTATTTCTAGAGGCCATATGCCACGCATGCAAAAAGACCCAGGTGCTGACACTAGCAGGGCTAGCAGAGGGCTGAAATAACCCAACACACCATGAAAAGCCCCGGGCAGTCAGTGTACGCAATGCTCAGTTGGATTCATCAGTGTGCTGACTTTGGTATAAGGCAGCTTTTCTAATGGGGGATGACTGTAGCTCAGATGCAAAGCGTCCGCTTTGCAGGCAGCAAATCTCAGGTTCAGTCCCTGGCATCTCCCAGGGGCCTTGGCAAGGAATCTTCTCTGAAAGTTTGGAGACACCGCCCGTCAGTGTAAACCAAGGAAGTCTCATGCACTAAAGCTGAGCGTGTCTGCCTCGGCTGCATCCAACCCCCGGGGGGATCATTTGCGGGGGGGAGAGCTGGAATTTGGCCTTGGGATCCTAACCATTTTCCACACCGCAAGTAACAAAAAACAGAAGAGCGCAGCAGGTGGAACGGCTATTCGGAGCTCATCCTCCACTTGCAAACCAAGTTCGCTTGCTTGAAGCGCGAAGGAGCCATTCCAAGCGCTCTGCTGCCATTTCGAAGCCCGAAGTTGCTCGGCTCCCCCTTCCGGGCACCTCCTCCGGCAGCCACCTCGGCCCCAGGCCTGTCAACGGGGGAGGGCGCTCTCCGAACCAGGCAGCGGACTGGCGCGGACCCCCTCTTCCTCGCCGCTCTGTGCAGCGCCTCCCTTCCTCCGACAGCCGCTCCGAGACGGATTGGCTTTCCGCCGCCGGGCTCGTTTTCCTGCGTTTTCCTTCACCTAGGCGGCGGCAGCCTCCGCCGTTCTTCCCCATGGCTGGGGGAGGCCGAGGAGGCAGTGTCAGCCTCTCAGGTCCGACACTCTCCAGCAGAGGCGGCAGCAGCTCGCCGCCGCCAAAGTAGAACCGGCCGCCGCTTTCCGGGAAGACCGAGCGGCAGCGCTTGGGCGCCCGCGGGCGGACGGTGAGTGCGGGCGGGCGCGGGCAGCCCTTTCCATTGAGCGCTATAGCCCGCCGCGTGCGTGCTTGGAGATGGGCGGAGGGTGGCGCGACACGCGGCTTGAACTTCCGGCAGCGATGGAGAGCTCTGTGAATCTCAGTGGTACGCCGTGGAGTCGCCGGAGGCCTCGGCGCCTTTGTGCTTTGCATTGCTCGTTAGGTGCGCAATCCTGTGCTGGTTTAGAGAGCAAAGAGCAAGGTTCCACAACTCTCAGCATTCTTCTTCTCTGGAATGCTGGAAATTGTAGGATTTTTCCTCCTGTCTAAACCTGCAGGATAGCGCCGTAAGAAAGTGGTTTAGATTTTTTTGCACAGGCACAAACTTGAAACTGCCCTGAGAACTTTGGAAAGAAAAGTAATCGTACCGATTCGTGTGGCATTCTAGTCTTGCTGTGCGCGATGAAGACAGAAACTTCTTAGGAAGCAAGCCGGTAGCACGTGAAGGTTGACCATGCTAGTTTCAAGTTAAGGACGGAAGAAGATCCCCGGAGGACCATACCAAAGGCCTGTATGGTGTGGCGTTGTGTTTCGACACCAGATGCCCGTGGGGAGCTCACAGGCAGGACTCGAGCCCTATAGCATCCTCCCGCTCATTCCCTCCAGCATTGTGAAGCAGAAGCATCTTGCCTCTGATGCTCGAGATAATGCGTAGCAGTTGTGATAAGTAGTCATCGATACCTCACCCTGTGAGTCAAAAGCAGTCAGCATCTTTCATGGAAATCTTGGCCAAAATAGCCAAAATGAATGTTTTATTTTTAAGGTGCCACAAGACTCTTGGTTGCTCATAGCCTTATTGTTTGTCAATGTGTTTAGTTCCCTTCGAATGCTTCTCAAGTTCGGTGTCATCACACACCATACATACGGAAGTCACTTCCACAATATCTCTACCCATGGTGTATCTCTACAAAAGGAAGAACTTCCTCGTATCTGTCTTGATTCTCCCACCATTTTAACAGATGACCTGAAGTCTTTTATGAGTGAATAAGAATTTTTCCCCTCTCCCTGCACCACCCCATGCATAATCGTATGCACTTCTGTTATGTCCCCACCTGGTCTTTTTGTGTAAGCTAAAGAGCCCAGTGTGGTGACCTTTTATCACAGGAGAGTTGCTTCAGTCTTTTGATTGTTTTGGTTGCTTTTTCCTGCACCTTTTCCAGTTCTACAGTATCTTGTCTGAAGCGGTCAGAAATGTAAACAGCATTCCAAGTTTGAGTACACCACAGATTTTTATAAAGGCTTTAGGATATCGGGCATTATAGTTTTGATTCCTTTCCTAATTGTCTGTGTTTGGAATATGCCTTTTTCATAGCAGCTGTATGCTGAGTTGATTTTTTATTGCATTATCCACAATACCCCTTTCTGTTCACTTGTGGCCAGTGCAGAACCATAAACATATATGTGAAATTAGGGGTGTGGGGGGTAGGTCTAATATGGTATCCCTGCATGTTTGCTTATATTGAACTACATTTACCATTTTAATGTCCATCCAGTTTTGGAGATATCCTTCTACAGCTGTTTGTTGCCCCTTCTTGTTTTAACTACTCCTAAATGTGGTTTCTTTGGCAAACTTGGGCACTCCATATTAGCTGCACTCACAAGTTAGCTGCAGTATTTGTTCTTGTATGTAACGCAAGCAAACTCATAGAAGCTTGAATAGGTCACTCTTAAGGTGCAATGCTATGCCAATTTAGACAGAAAAAATAACTCCTAAATATAAGCTTACATAGGATTTCATACGTAGTTGCTGATCTGTGATGAACAGTATACTAATAATTTTTGAAATATGTGTTGCACAACTGTTTTGTATATTAGTATACAGAATTTGTTTCAACAGTTTTCACTTATTTCAATCTCCGAATTTCTGGGAAATTTTATACCAGACAGGGCAACTTTTATGCAAGCTTGGAGAATCTTTGATGAAGAGCATCTACAAACTGGATGTTAAAACAAGAGTGAAAGACAGAGGTTCTTGGGCCAAAAGGGCAATGTGTTTATAAGAGTCCAGCGTGTGTGTTTTGAGTGGTGAAAGAAATACAACCTTGAATATGGGAAGGGCAGAATGATATATCTCCTCTTGGCAAAGGGGACTGATTCCAAGTATGTATTGCTTGAGATTATCCTCGATCACAGAAGGACGATGAAGTGCTGTAATGGTCATGGTGTTTTCTTAAAATTGTGGAAACCTAAGTCTGTAATCCTAAACATGCTGATTGTAAATGATCTACTTGGATGCATAGCCAGGCGTGTGGCTTCCAGATTGAGAGAGATGTTAGTACAACTCTGTAAGACCAGTGTGCCCACAACTGGAATACTATGTCCAATTCTGGACTTCACATTAGAAGACCAACATAGCTGGGTTAGAGTCAGTTCAGTGCAGGGTCACAAGGGTGGTAGCCAGATTGGAGGGGTGAGATGACATATGAGATGAAATTGAGGGAGCTGGGTCTTTTCAGACTGGAGAAGAGGAGACTCAGAGATCTTACAGCAACATTTAGGTATGTGAAGGGGTGTCACACGATAGAGGGTTGTGACCTGTTCTCCACTGCAGTGGAGGAAAGGACGCAGTCCAAAGAGGCAAAGTTCAAGGAACCGGATTTCAGGCTGGATGTCAGGAAGTACTTCCTGATGGTTAGGACCCCTACGATAGGGAATGGCCTTCCACAGGAGGTGGTGGGGGCCCCATCAGTGAGGGTGTCCATGGAAAGATTGGACAAGCACATGTTACATATTACATGAGCGGGGGGGGGGTCATACCAGAGGGCCCAGGAGGCCTCTTTGACTCACCGTGTTTCTGTGTTACTGTGGAAATCAAACAGCTTAAGTTTCAAGTCAACAGTTATATGTAGCTGTCGAATGCAAACAATTAACTGTCTGTGATGCATTCTTAAAGCTGAATTGTGTATTCTCCCCGGCATAGCTGGAATTGGCAGCTGTTGGTACTTGTTTATGGGCTTAGGTTTGCTCCAGGCATAGCCCGGTCGCAGCAGGTTTAGTGTTACTTGTTTGGCAAAGTATCTTAGCAGAGCAGATTGGTTGTCTGTCTGTAGCCCAGCATTTTAATTTTGCTCTTCTGTCAACTAAATATAGGACCAAGGTTGCTGAGCTGCATTTGTGCTGGTGGGAAAGCTTCTTCGCAAAGGTAACATGCAAAAGAATGATAATTGAAAAGAGAATATACCAGCCATTATAGTGTGGATAATAATGGGTAGTAAACATTAGATTCAGCTGCACACTTGGCCAAAGTAGGTCTGAAGTATTACCTCCATGTTGATAATCCAATTTCTCCAGATAGTGCTAGTACTACATATAACAATAGTGACTACATTCTGGACCTTTTTGGCTAAGGAAGAGATTCTTAGCAACAGCCCCTTGGTTGTGGAAAGACCATCACAGAATGATTTGTCTGGAACTAAGTGTAATATTCTTTATGTGCTACTTAAAGAACTTCTAGTTCTCTTAGGTCTTTTAGATTTGATTATGCTGTGGTGAAGTATTGTTTTTGCTCTGCTGCATAATTTTTCAGAAATGCCTTACTTCCTCTCTTTTAAATAGCTGTAGTGCTGTGGTGTATTGTTCTCTTGCTCTCTGTTTAAAAGTGATTTTGCAAAAGAGTAGTCTTTTAATTTTATGGGTCGTGTGCTTTTCTTCATTCTAATCATGTTTTTTGTAATTGTGGTTTTATCTTGTATGCTGCCCATGGAGCTGTTATTGTATGGTGTCACACAGAATCGTAGAATAGTAGAGTTGGAAGGGGCCAAGAAGGCCATTGGGTCCAACCCACAGCTAGTGCAGGACACCAAGTAACATCATCCCACTCAGATGGCTGTCCAGTTGCATCTTGAATGTGTCTTGTGTGGGAAAGCCTACAACTACCCTAGGTCATGGCTTCCATTGTCCTACTGCTCTAACAGTCAGGAAATTTTTCCTGATATCTGACCAGAATCAGACTTCCTATAACTTGTGCCTTTATTCCATGTCCTGCGTTCAGGGGTGATCGAGAAGAGACAGCTTTTCAAGTACTTGTAGCGTACTATCATATCCCCCCTCAGTCTTCTTGAGACTGAACATGTCCAGTTATATCAATCTGAATTGTTTAAATAAAATAACCACTGCCATGGGATTTTTCAGTTTTTCATGAAATTTAATGGGCCTACAATAGCTTTGGGACAACCTATCAAATAGATGTGGACATTCTGTCTTCCATCCACAAGATCACATGAAAGCAATAATAATTTTTTCCTGAAGTAAATTGCACATGTAGTCCAACTGTTCCTGTTTCCTTAATCTCAATATACAACACTTCTTCATTCTATAAAAGGTGAGCTTTCCCTAGGATGAGGCAGCCCTATGCAAGATTTGACAGAACCAAGGCCTACAACTCCCAGCATGCTGGCTGGAGCCTGCTGCAAATTATAGACCTTTTTTTCTATCAAAACTTGCTTGGAGTTGCACCCTTAGCTAAAAAGTGGTGGTAGCACTGATGCTGAAGCAACCTGTTTGAAGATCAGGGAGCAACCCAGTTGTGGTTCACAATCCGCCAGTTGAAAAACAACGAGCTGTCCTGTTTGCTGCCAGCATTTTGATGGCAGAAGACTGTGCAGGTCAACTGTGTAATGTGAGCACTGACATAGCAAGACTGGGTGTGTCTAAATTTTATCTGTTGCACATACCTTGTTATAAAAACCTCTCTAGAAATAATAACTAGAAGGCACCTCTGATCCCACAAATACCTTTTAGAGCAACTGTCCCCTACCTGGTACTTTCCAGTTGTGTTGGAAGTCATGGTGCCTTCAGGCTTGTTCTGTCCTTTTATATACAGTGGTACCTTGGTTCTCAAACTTAATCCATTCCACGACTCTGGTTGCGACCCGAAATGTACACTGAGCACTTTCACCTGATTGTATAGGTACTTGATTGGTCATCAGCAATATTTATTAATATTTCCCTTGAGAAGGATACCCTCAGCAAGGAGGCGACAGAACTTTTATTCAGTAAACAAATTAGGTAGGCTTTGCATTGGGCCAGTCAACCGTGCCTCCTTCTCTTATCTGACATACCACTGAGAACTTTCTCTACATAGCTTCCATCTATGCTTGGGCCACCCTTTGAAATGAAATTTTCCTGCCACACACATTCAAGCTGATCTTATGGTCCCCAGATTGTCTGTCTAGCACATGGGTCCTCAAACTATGGCCCGGGGGCCGGATCCAGCCCACCATGCCCATTTATCCGGTACGCCATGCCCATTTGGACCTGCCGTGCGTGTACACGCCCACTGCCGCCCACCTCACCCCCGCGCCTGGGGAGGCGGCAGTTTGCTCGCTTGGAGAAAATGATCTCCAAGTGAGCAAGCTGCTGCCTCGTGCGCCCACCTTGCGGCGCATGCCTCGCCTCACTGCCCGGCTGCCTGCCCACCTACGCCTCGCTTCCCCTCGCCACGCGCCGCCTGCACCTTGCCTTGCCACATGCCCTGCACATGCCGCCCCCTCCGACACCACCTTTCCGGCGGCCCATGCCTGGCACCGGCAGCTTTCAACTGGCCCCCTGGTGAAAAAGTTTGAGGACCCCTGGTCTAGCATCTTCACCTGAGGGAGTTCTTCCTTTTGTTGGAGGCAAAATGAAGAATAGTGGAAACCTACTTTAAGTAGGTTATCCATAAAAGAAAGACCATCCCAAGCTTTCATACAAATGCAGATTTCTGATGGAACAGCAGTAACTTTGATAAGCAGCAGCTTCTGCATTTGCATATATATTGTCCCCTGCAGGCACACACATTTGCTGGCCAGCTTCTGCCCTTCAAGGTGTGCTTACTTCCTGAGCTTGTCACCGCTGCTGTGTACATCTTCAGGTACCTAATCACTGGGAAGATGAAAGGGGACTGCTGGGGATGTTTCTCTTTGTATTATCTAGTTACATTAACTTTTGTTCAAGACGTGTGGTTTCTACTAAATTATGGGCACATGCTTGTTTTGGAATAAGTATTTTCTTTTTCTGTTTGCAAAACTGACTTCAAACTTTTTATGAAGTGGTGGAGAACTAGTGTGATGCAGTGGTTGGGGTGTTGGACTGGGACTTGGGAGGTCTGGTTTTAGTCCCCACTCAGCCATCAAGCTCTCTTGGTGACTTTGGGCTGTGACTGGCCCAACCAACCTCACAGGTTGGTTGTAAAAATGGAGTGGAGGAGGAACTTGTAAGCTGCCTTGGTTCCTTGCAATAGAAAGAAAGGTGGGGTATAAAGTAAAGATGATGATGATGATTGATGACGAGGCACTGTCATGGAACTTGGTTTTGTTTTCATTTTTTCCAGTGGTGCCACCTTCCTTGAAGTATTTTCGTGGTGAGTCGTGTCTGCATGGAGAAAAAGATGGGAGAAGCTGTAGCCAGGGTAGCCAGGAAAGTGAATGAAACTGTGGAAAACAAAGCAGATTCTCTTGGTAAGTTAATCAGTTTAGCTTTGCTCAGAAGTGATGATGTTCCCCTTCCTTCCTTCCTTCCTTCCTTCCTTCCTTCCTTCCTTCCTTCCTTCCTAAAAATTGTATGCCGCCTGGACAGCTTATAACATAAATCAGAATAAAATAAATAAATTGACTATTCCACGCTGGCTGTAATTAATAAAATACAAACAATAAAATCCAATTACTATTAATACATATTAAAATATTGATTAAATAAAAAGGTCTTGACCTTTCGCCGAAAAACATAATGATGCTTTCTGGGGAACGCATTCCATAGTCAGGGCACCACCGCAGAGAAGGCCCTCCTGCAGGTACTCTGTCTCCTAACATCTTTCACAGAGGGTTCCTGGAGGAGGGATTCTGTTGCTGATCTCAGGAGGCGGGAGGGCAAATAGGAAAAAAGGTGTTCCTTTAGGTATCCTGGTTCCAAGCCATTTAGGACTTTATAGGTAATAACCAGCACCTTGAATTGAGCCTGGACTTCGATGGGAAGCCCAGTGGAGCTGACAGAGGACTGGGGCTTTATGAGAATAACGCCCAGTCCCCGAAAGCATCCTGGCAGCTCTGTTTTGCACCATCTGAAGTATCCGGACTGTCTTCAAGGGCAGCCCCACGTAAAGCGCGTTACAGAAATCCAACCGGGAAGTAACCAATGCGTGTGTTACTGCTGCTAGGCAATCTTCCTCCAGGTAGGGACACAGCTGATAGCTGAAGGAAAGCGCTCCTCGCCACCGCTGTCACTTGGGCTTCCAAGGACAGCTCCGGGTCGAGGAGCACTCCCAAGCTGCGGACCCTGTCCTTTCGAGGGAGTGCAACCCCGTCCAGGGCAGGACCCAAGCCACCTACCCAGGAGCTCAAATCACCCACCACCAGCACCTCTCAATTTTAAAACATGACCCTCTCAATCTTGTGCATTGTGACCTACACTGAGGTACAGTGACTATCCAAAGTTTCACTCAAAGGTTCTTCCCTGTAAGAGTCTAGGGCAGTGATGATGAACCTTTTAGAGACCGAGTGCCCAAACTGCAACCTAAACCCCACTTATTTATCGCAAAGTGCCACCACTGCAATAAAACCTGAATATTGAGGTTTTGGTTTAGAAAAAACAACTCATACATTAGCATCTTTTGTCTTAAAAGAAATACATGATAATAGAGCTTTCAGTGATACAAACAGCTTTTTATTGAAAGGTAAAAGTTTGCTTTTGGCCTGCTCTGAAAAAGGCATCTGAGTGCATTTCCTACCTTGTGGGGGCTTCTGCTAAAAGCGCAACCAATCCAAGCAAATCCCTGGCAGCGCACTGACCAGCCATGCAAAAGCTCGGACGAGTCACAGCTAATGAGTCGCGGCTTGTGATGTCATCCCCTGGCACCGCTGCTCCTTTCTGAGCATGCGCATGGTGCCTGTATGCACTGTTATCCGATGCTTGGCTGCTGGGGCGATGCTGGGGTGACTTGGCTCGTGTGCCAACAGAGAGGGCTCTGCGTGCCCATTGCGGCACACGTGCCAGAGGTTCGCCACCACTGGTCCAGGGCATAGGTGGCCAGAGAACAGATAAACACACCAGGACCTAGGCAACAAGACATAGCGGTACAAGACTAGAGTTCAATCACCCGTCCAAATTACAGTATCAAGACCAGGGTCAGAACCACAAGTCAGTCATAGTGCATTCCAGTAAAGGAGAGATTGGTCAAAATGAGCCAGAGATCAGGATCCAGGAAGACGGCACAATAAGGAGTGAGTACCTGGGAGTGGGAGCCATCCATACCCAGTGAAGGGCTTCAGAACACTGGAAACCAGCGTGGCTGAGACAGCTTCCTAAGGGAAGAGCCTGTTCATAAATGGCTCTTTGCAAGGACTCCCAGGTGGCGCGCATGAAGGTCCTGGCAGCTGCAGTAGAGTCTGGGACTGATCCTGCAACTACCAGGGCTGTTATTCTGGCACTTGGCCAGCAGGAGGAGCCCAGAAGCTGCCCAGATCCTAACATTCCCATGCTGTTGCATCTTTTTTACTAGATGCATCAAGCACTGAACAGGCAGAAGGTGTCCTCTGAGATTCACAGATTCTTCTTGCGCTTGCCCTGCTCTTGGAAGTCTGCAAGCACTTGCAGAATGAAGATTGTGCGACCAGCTGGCAGCCTTCTTTCATGTCAGGGGCAACAGCACAAAGAAAAGCCGCTGCACGTGGCACAGAAGAGGGGCAATGCTCACACGGTGCCTGGGGCTCAGTTCCTGGTAAGCACCCCAAAATGCTGGGTGTGCTCACCAGGAACTCAGACTTAGGAATGCGACAAAGCAGACCAGGGACTGGGGAGCTGGACCCAGGGAATCTGGCAGACACCCACCCCCCGAATGAATTCTTCACACATCCCTGCCTAAGAGTTTGTGCTTACACAGCACGTGCTGAACTACAGCTCTTAAAAATGGTATAAGCAGTGTCCCCTTCCCCTTCATCTCCATTGTGTCTCCATCTCCATTCATCTCGGGGATGACATCTCCATTCATCTCGGGGATGTCTATGGCCCAGTTGCACAGTGGAACTTGCCAGCATGGAGGGTACTAATTAGGTGTCAAGGCCCATGCAGTTGGCCCTGCCCACATGGTTGCAGTGCTCACACCCCAGAATCGCATGCTTCTACATTGGTGAAGGAGCCGTGCGTGTCTGTGAATGAAACCTAAATGATAGGATTGTTCTGCACAAGAACATATACAGACCCACTTCATTCAATAACAGGCAGCTGGTCTCTCTAGACCAATGGTGTCTCTTCTGATGGAAGAATCTTTCCAGGTTCTGAGATGTCTCTCCAGGTTCTGCCTGAATTTCCTCTTCAGCCAGGAAATTCCAGAATCTGGAACCTTCTGAATAAAAAGTGCATTGTCTTGGGAAAAAAATGCATCTCTCCCATGGTTCAGAGCTACCTCAAGCACAATTCACAGACCACCTCAAAAGAAGAGTTCTTTAGCTTTTTCAGCAGTAGTCTGAAGTATTGATCACTTAGGTTGGAAAATAGTTTAAGTTTTCCAATTGGTTCCCTTATATTTTGCTGTTGTGGACTTTCCCACTCAACATCTGTCTTGGCCAGGTTATCAAGAAACACCACAATCAGTAACCTGATGTTGAAGCTGACAAAAAGATGTTTCCAATAATAGCCACAGAAACATCTAAATATAGGTAAGCAAAAACTATCGAAGTCAACACGAGTTGTTCTCGTTATACTCTCAGCAAAACTGGAGCTTGTTTGCAAAGCTGCAGGTTTTTTATCCTAGGTATATTTTGAGTTATGATTGTCCCCATAAACAAACAGTGGATAGGGCATGGGAGTGAAAACATGATAGCTTTGTTGGAGATGGGGAACTGGAAGACCTGGGGGCTTGCTACCTGCCAGGATCATCCTTGTCAGGGTGTTTCTGTTTGGAATGTAAGGCTGTGCTCCACAGACAAGAGAGGAAGCTCACCCGAGAAAGCCTCATGGTGAACAGCTAAAGATTTGGGTGCTTTGGATACTTGTGTGAGGGGAATGTACTGCCCTTTCATTTAGTTGAACCTGAAACAAGGGCACAGCAAGAGAATGGCATGGTGGGAGCTCAGTCCTGCCAGGGGAGGCAGACCTGTAGAAAGCTGAGCCTTCGGAGACATAATTTTGTAGAAAAGTACGGTTCTTGTAGGTCTCTTCCAGCAGTGAGCCTTTGAGTAATTGCAGGAAACCTCAGCTATAGGTCTAGATGAACACTTCGGAAAGGGGGTAACAATCAGTACATGATCTGCATTGGGCAAGTCTGCTTATAAGCAAAAGGTGCAGGCTTGGCTTTCAGTTCAAGCTCAGTCTAGACAATTTTAAAGTGTGTTGACAGTTCAATTTAAACATTCAGCTTTTAGTTCACTTAAAACTAGAATGTGAGTCCAGAAAAGTGCCCACTGAGGCAGGCTTACAGTGAATCAGACAATCAGCAGGGGTTCAAATTGCTCATATTCCCTTTTTAGACCCCACTCATTGTCCAGGCCTATTAATCAAAATCATCTTCCAAGGGTCTTGAGTGATCAAAATCCCTTTTACATTTCCTCTTACTGAAACTTAGTGCTGCCCTACAGTTTATGCTCTGGCTGTAATTGAGAGACTCCCATATTCCAGTTATAGTTTGGAAAATGGTTTAAAATAGTAAAACTGAGACCAGCTTTAAAAACTTTATCAATCTGTAGGGCCCTGGTCTGGCTAAGGCATCTCATTTTAGATTTGAGCATTCATTCATTCATTCATTCATTCATTCATTTAGAATTTTTGTATGCCGTCCCATTCGCATGAGCCTTGGGACGGCTTACATACAATAAATAAACAGAGTACAAACAGTGCAAATAAAATCCTGATTCACCCTGGCTGCAAATTAAAAACCTATAGATGATATTAAAAATTGTTAAAAAATAGTTTAAATAAAAAGGTCTTAGCCTGGTGCCGAAAAACAAATAATGACGGTGCCAGGCGGACCTCTCTGGGGAGCACATTCCACAGATGGGGCGCCACCGCAGAGAAAGCCCTCCTCCAGGTACTTTGCCTCCTGATGTCTCTCATGGAGGGTTCTCGGAGGAGGGCCTCTGCTGCCGATCTCAAGGGGCGGGAGGGCAAATATGGAAGAAGGCGTTCCTTTAGGTATCCAGGTCCCAAGCCACTAAGGGCTTTATAGGTGATAACCAGCACCTTGAATTAAGAAGAAACTTGAGAAGAAACCAAACTTCATGTGCTGAAGATAATATGCAGCTTACTGAGTACCATGATGTAATATGGATGCTGAATACAGACAGAGCAAAAGAGAGCTTATATTCCCCTTATCTGGAGCTGTATTGGCTCTTTTAACAGGCCAGGGGATGCCGTGGGCCTCCAGAGTTGCCTGACTACGTGACATTTCAGCTCTTCTCCCCCAGACTGAGGACAAAAGATAACACCTCTTCCCATATATAAGATTGTAAAAGCTACAAGGTGCTCCTCT